CCATACATCCAACCAGATTGACATCATAGTCAGATTCCCTTAACTAGGCACAAGCTGGGCTTCAAATGTAAAAACAGTTCTAGAAGTGCCATGGAAATCCCTTTCTGAAGTCTCTTAAAAGGAAAAAACTTTCTGTATGTACACACACACCTGTTTGGTGATAACAGAGGCACCAAGTATAAGAAATGATTCGGCATCATGGATAATTATAAAATGGAATCATCATTTACATGCTCTTCATGAGCAAACTCGTCTTGTAGCTTCTACTATTATTTATGGGTCACCTGAACCACAAAAATAAACCTTAAAAACAACTGGTTGTTGTTGTTCTGTAAGAGACTCACAGCATATTCTGGAAGCAAGAATGAGCCTAAAGGAAAACCAGCAATGAGCCACCTCAAACAGCAGGACTGATAGGTAAGGACAGTTGCTAAGACATGTTGCATCTCTGCTAATATAAATATATCACTATTGACAAGATTCTTTCTCAGCTTCACTACAGTCCCACGCATCTTACAATCCATTCACCAGCAACCCCTATGGCTTTGTCCCAGCACACACCATGCCTACAGTTTCTCTGCTCTAAGCAGCAGGCACTCAAGGAGATCTGGCCCAAATTGTGGAAACTACATGTAATATTAAAATCAAAATAATATTGAAATAATACTATTTATTGAAATAATAATAAACACTAAAAAGACCTCTCTTAATTTGTTATTTTTCAACCTATACTATCATCAGAAACTGGAAAGGCATTTTTTAAGCTGCATTTTATTTTTCTTCAACATTCAGGGATATAGCACACAGGAAGTTAAATAACAAACACTGCTAGCTCGTGTCAACTTTTTGTATTACTACTTCTTTCCATCACCAGCAAAATGAAGCAGAGGTAACTAGAAACCCAGGGCTTTACATTCCCTTGCTCTGACCACTGTATTTTTACAAGCATCAGCTTCACTAAAATAACGAGTAAGTAGCACAATAAATAAAGCCAAGTATAAATGCAGCATAGGCCTTTTCCTTGGTGAAGTTGTAGCTGGGGTCTTGCTTTCCAGAGGCTGCCCACTAAAATTTAATTACAGACTCAAATTATAACTTAAGAGCTGCCCCTAACATGAGCTCCACGTGCAAAGAAAACCTCAGAGCAAACTTATACTGAGCATGATGGTACTTTTAATGAGCGCTGTTTGCCCCTTTGGGGAATATAGAGAATAAAGCCTGAATTAACAAAATTCATCAGTTTCTAGCACAGCTGCACCACACCATGAACAGAGGCCCCACTCAGCCCGGGCTCTACCTACCACAAGGCTGTCCTTCAGCTGTATTAACCCACGGGCAGCCAGGAAAGCACCCAGGGGAGCTCTATGCAGAGCAGCACCAGACTTACGGTGTGTGTCCCATTCCCTGTGGCCCCCCACAGGCTTCACACCAATCTCTGGGGCTGGGCTCCAATATCAGAGCATAAAGAATAATGTTGGGGGGAGGGGAAATGGACAGGGTGTACAGACCACATGCTCTTTCCGCATCCACTCACTCCCACTTTGCCTCTTTCTTCTGCAAGTCTCAAAATGAGCAAAAGCTGACTGTGCAAAACCCAAGTGGATATTTCTCAAACAAGTTAACGAGCTGGATGGGCTTTGTGAAGCATCCAGATAGACCCAATTCAAGGAAGACAGCGGGACTGGGCTGCAAAGCAGGGGCTAGCACACAAAGAATGGGAGAAGAGGGCAGGGAGCCGGATCATCTCATAGCAGCAATCAAACCATTCGGGTTCCTCAGCTGCACGGTTGGATTGTAGCCTCGTTCAAGCCAGGCTGGCTCAACAACAACAGCAACTCAAAGTTGGGTAAGATAACTCCACATTAAAGACACGTGGCCCATCAAAGAAGTTTCCAGCCTTCCCTCAAACTTCTGGCTCCTTCCTCCTCCAACACAGCCCACCCCCACGTGATGCTAACATAACTGTTTGAGGAGGTCAACCTATGGACACTGACATGATCTGTTAAAAATACCACCAAGTGGCAAGTACTAGGAAGGAGAGGAGAAGGGAAGAGAGCTTTCTGTTGACCTGTTCAGCAGCACAACCCCCAAGGCCATGCAGCTGAAGGGGCAGGCCCAGTATGGGAGCTAACAGCAAGGAGACCTTCCATCAGGTTGGCCATTTCAACCAGCATCTTGTGGGATGTCTCATGAGTGGCATTGCACAGAGTTCAAGGAAAAGCAGGACTAGAGAACATCTGAGAACATTTTACTAACTCTGGTTGGTTTTCCTTGACAGATTAGGGAACTCTAAGTGCTGTCAGTCTTTGTCATCCCACTCTCTCCTCCATATATTTCTCTTATCCCCCACCCCCCAACACACACTTTGTTCACTCACAGGACATTTTGTAAATTTGTTTTTCTACAACAATGAATTTGTTGTTGTTGGTTTTGTCTTCTTTGTGTTTTTTTTTTTTTTTAAACAAACAGTATTGTTTTTTTAAAAAACAAACAAACAATACTATTATCAATGATTCTTCCCCAGAAGTACTTTGTCTGTTGGCTTAGTGTGTTTAAACAACAAGAAACCCAATGAGTGACAGACCCTGAAGTAGGAGGTCAAGATCAATAGCTTGAAGTCAAACCTGAAAGGGAAGCAGCAGCACCACAGCAGGTTGAGTTTGAGTCTCTTTAATGAAAGGAACAAATCCTAATATAAGTCTCAAGTTCTGTTAAACATGTGTTTATCAGACAGTGACGCACAGCATAAAAGTAGAAGGGAATGCACAAATATCTGTAGTGCAGATGTCCTTGCTTTACAAAGTCCCTTCACTAAGGGAGACTTGGAAAAAAAACAGAAATACAGGTTGTCTAGATTGATAAATACAAAAAAGACTGCAGTAAGCACTGAGTGTTCATCAACATGTGAAGATGCTGGAAATATTTAGGATGAATCTTTGCTCAATGCCTAAACTAGACAACGTTTCTCCCCACAGGCAGAAGCTGGGAGAAATAGATTAGACAGGTAGATCAATCAATGCCTCTTTGGTGATACATTGCACCAGTTACAAAAGAAGAAGCTGAAATTCCTCCAAAGGAAAGCCACTTACAAAAAATAAAATAAAAATGCAATGGGACTCTGCTCATATGTCCAGTCTACAAGCCTGCCATGTGGTCTGAAAACTCGTGCCCTCAGACATGAATTATTACCAGGGTATAAATTGCTGAGCATTTTTTTCAGCAGCAGTGCCGGCTTAAGTAATTTCCCATCCCAGAAAACTGTTAACTATTAAACTAGACCATTATGGTAAAGCTTGGCCCAGCTCTCAGCTACAAAGCAATAGTACAGGCACATCTGAAGGATGAGGAAGGCACTTTCTTTAGCCTTGATGAAGCTAAAAGCAGTGCTTAAAAAAAAAAAAAAGAAAAAAAAGTGAACATTCCACATCTGTTTCAATACAAAATGAAGAGCCTTAACTTAAATACCTTTCACGGTGTAGAAGGTAAACCATTTAACTAAATCCATGACAAATTAAACTACAGAGGCAGTGACTTTTAAATTACTTGTGATCTTCCTAGGCACGTACAAGTTTGCCCATTTGGTGAATATTTTAATTAGTTCAGTGGGAAGTGGTCGATATAACTGCATTTATACTTTTACATTAACTTAAATTTATCTTTAGTTTTAATTTAATTTGGTCCTTAAAGAAAAAAGTATATGAATATAAGATGATTTGACTAATATATGAAAAAAGTTTTCTATTTATTAAAGTGACATAATATGTGCCACAGACCACGTCACTGCAAAAAAAGTAAAGACCATAAACCCAAAATTCTGAAGATGAAACCATGACATACAGGAACTGCAGTATACCACAGGAGTTAGGCAATGGAGATTCAAAGTCCAACAGACCACTAGCCACACAACAGGCTAATCAGCAAGGAGTAAGCACATTTTCCAATCTAAAGATTACTAGATTTTAAGAATTTTTTTTGGTTGGTTGGTTGTTTTTTGTTTGTTTGCTTTTGAAAATTCACAGTACATTTTGCATGGGATCATCACCAAAGATTCCATTTCAAAGGCCACTTACTGCTTTTGCTTTACTCCCTAAATTACTTACTTTCTTGAACCTGAGGGAACACAAGCACATTCGAGAGTGGATTTGAACTGATTTCAGCAACTGACTTCTGATGCCTAGTCCACAAGACTGAACATCCCCAAGGAATGTGGAGGGGTACCTGCAGCATGTTTATTTTCTCTCAAAGGGTGTGGGAGCTCTTGATTCCTCATATATAGTAGAGGTTGACACTGACTGCAAAGCACTAAAAACTCGAATTCAAAAACCTACTTGAAGCAGTAACTTAAAACATAATTTAATAGTGCAATAATCCAATTGATATATTTGTTGTTGTAGCATCCACATTAAGACAAGGGAAACTCATTCAGTACCACAGTCCAAAATTTCAGCAGCGGTTAAAAACGGTAAGATGTTCTGGCAAAGAATAGAAGTATTTTCAGAGATAACTTTTCAATTTCAAAAAGACATTGTCATTTGACAAACCTCTGCCAGAACTGAAACAGTAAAAATGAAAACAAAATGCAAGCACTAGATATTGTCATTACATATTCTACAATGTTTTGAAAAACATTGAATTTAAGACACAGTTTTCATGCGACATCACTTAAATATCAGCCTTTTAATAAACTATCAATGATTTATCTAAATTCTAATGAGAAAGGGAGAAACTAAGACCACGGTTTTCCTCAAAATTTTGTAGCATGGAGGGTTACTTGTGACATTGCCCACTTCCCTTTCCCACCATTCCAATGTTAGGGAAAAAACCTAAAAATACTTAATGTATTCGCATCAATAATGGCTATACTATCCTAGCAGCAGAGAACTATTTAATTTGACACTTTATGTTATCTTAGTAGTTGTAGAAATACTTCAGGCACTCAGAAAGAGAGTCTATCCATACACCATATGGGAGAAAGATCACAATTTGAACAGAATACTTACTCTGTGCCACTTTCAACCATTTGTGTTAGGAGAGAAATGCCATCTAGGTTTATAAATTCTTGGGCAAAAGTAACATCCCGTGAGTAGTTTGCTAAGTCTTTCAGTGCTTCTAACTTTGCATCCATACTAGAAGACTGGATCCTTTCATGGAGCTGCTGTGCATTTTGAGCCTGAAAGAAAAGACACAAAACAAAACCAAAAGAACTTACGTTACAATGACTATAACAAATAAAATGTTAGTGCAAACAGGAACCATGGCCATGTTTAATATTAATGATATTTAACATTTACATTCTCTGACATGTTCAAGTAACTCAAACACACATTACTTTTACAAAATTATATTATTAATTTATTATTCCTCTATTATGTATAATTATTTGGATTGTTGCAGAATTGTAAATTGAGCAATGGATAGACATCCCATTGTGGCAGTCAAAATGCAAGCATTACAAAATACAGCCTTAGGCTTGAAGAGTTAGTGTGTCATATCAATAAAAGTAAAAATGGAAATAAAACAAATCACATCAGACAATATCAGTACAGTAACGCCAACATTTTTTTTTCCTGGCACTCTTCCTTGGTTTAAGCATTTCTCATGAGCTTTATTAATAAAGGCCATATACTGTCCTAAACAGGTTATGTCAAAAGAGCCCAATATCAGGCCTTCTGTTCCTTCCTCCCTCTCTTCTCTTCCACTTGCTCTCAATCAATTCAAAAACCCATATTCTCTCTAAAAAAGCACAGGAATTATTACTTCTCACATACACAAATATGTATGAGTGGTGATATAGTAACTTCAATACCACATCTATGAGGCTACTCTGACCATTAACACTTTAAATACAGAATGAGAGGTCGGCAATATCCAAACATAACACCAACGATTAAAAAAAAATAAAAATAAAAAAATCTAAGGGAATATATAAGTAAAGCATATTAAATTATGAATTTGTCCTTTGGTTTAGCTGTACAAATACTTTAGATCTCACAGTTTCAATCTGATGCTTTCACTTACCTGAACACAATTCCCAAAAGTAATAGTTAATAGCTAGCCAGTACTTCTCTTAGAAAAAGAATCCTCCTTGTTATATGCAAATACTTGCCTTTTTTTTTTTCCCCCAAAAAAAACTCACTTTTTACCTGCACTGAATGAAAAGTAAATAAAAAGCTATGTGCCATTATATCATTAGGATTCTGGTAAATTCTGTTCACTGTTATTTTCTCTGAGGGTTTGTTTATTCTTTCTCAGCAACAGAATAAGAAAAATAAGGAAAAAAAAAAGGCTGCGCTGACAGACAATTTTCTGTTCAAGTAATGAATATACTCTTCACCAAGCTGATCATCTCTGTAGATAAAGATCCTCAGATAGTAGATATTTTTAGTGGAAGTGAACATTTAAACAGAGAACAGAGGGAAAAGTAAAACTACTGTGTTATAGATAAAGTTTCCTATCAACATAATCTTAACTGCTTCACAAACATTAATAAATTAAATGTCCCAGTACCCTCTGAGAAAAAAAAAAAAAGTTACTTCCATTCTTCCTTTTTTTTTTTTTTTTTTTTTTTTTTTTTTTTTTTACAAAGGAAAAAAAGGAATGTATGGTCTACACTCAGGTTCTCGCAGAACCTTTCTACTCAAGAGAAGCATGTACAGGGAGGAAATACTTTCTAGTTAATACAACTGAGGTTAATATCTTTAACTAAGACAGTATTGAAGATAAATAGAATATACTTTATTTCGGGGGTTTTCTATGCCTTAAGCATTAGGTGCTATAGCCATAGCAGTTATATTATCTATAAAGAGGCACAATCCTGTCATCCAAAACACCCCTTTGCCACCATAAATTTCCTACTCTCAAAATGGCTCAAGCTGTAGGAGAGAAACAGTGACCTCTATCTTGTCTCTGTAATGGACAATGACTGTCTGAATGGTATATCTATCTATCTATATATTCTCTCAAACATAAGCAGCTGGTAGACTAAAATCATGTGCCAAAGCCTATTGAAGAAATAAAAACAGATCCCATTAACTTCCAACATCCAGATTAGCCACAAAATAATTCCTCCAAACCATCTCTTTCTTCAGAGTATGCAAAGGAAATTTTGATAAAATGCTATTGTACAACTAGCTACAAAAATTGCAAGCTATCACTACTACTGCATGAACTGGAAGTTCAACAGCCACCTCCCACCTCATCAAAAAAGCCCTACATTAAGCTTGATCTTTTCAGGACTCCCTGGTATAACAAGTGAGGAAGATCCAGAGAAGCAACGTATCCTCAAAATATTACTCTTTCTCAAAATGCATGCAATGTCTGAATTCCCTCCTATCTCAGAAAAGAAGCACTTTGGAAAGTCTTCAGTATCAACCTAAGAGCTACATTCCCCTGACTTTGGAAATGATTGCTTAAATCATTTTTCTCATTAAGGTCTGTATACATCCTCTGTCATCTGCCATGGTTCTGGGAGGTTGACACCCCTGCTCCCCTCAATGTCTGAAGGCTAACACTCTACCATCTCTCCATGGGAAGCAGGTCTTCTTCTGAAGGTTTCTGGACCCCGTGAAAATTAAGCAAGCAGCAAGGATGAACAAAACATTTGGTTCACTGTGACTGAGCAGCACTCCTGAGTTGCTCAAACAGTAAATCAGAGGAATTAAAACAGGCAGCAGAGCTGTGGCCAAACATGTGGGGACAGTAATCTCACATGTAACACAGCAGCAAGCAAAAGAGGATATGTGAGCAGAGCCAGGAGAACGTCCTCCTCCCAACCCTTTTACATCACATCTGCAACTGCTGTATGACCAACACCTCATCTCCATACACTTTAACAATAACTTATTTATTGTCAAGTTCACCCTACCTCTTGAGAAGGGATTCCTACCCCCACCATAAACACCTGGAACTGGGAAGTGCTGCTGCCCATTAGACTTCCATTACATATGAAACAATACCCAGCTGGGAAAGAGCTAACCTTATCTCTCTCCAAAAAAGAGAAGACCAGCACAGGGATGTGCAATTAACAGCTCACCTACACTGTGGGACAGCAGCAGGACCAACCTTTCAACAGAGAGATGTTAGTCCTAGTTCCTGTGAAGCTAGTGAGAGCTTTGCAATCCACCACACTTAAACCAAAATAAAATTATGAATCTGAGACAGTTTGGTCTCTTCTAAAGAGCACAAAATCTATAATGCAATGTCTCTTCATTACAAAAGTTGTTCAGCCCTGTTTTAAGCACATAAAAGAGAATTTAGCAACATCCCATGCTTTACCAAACTATGCCATTGCTAAATGCCCCATCAGAAAAGTTTCTACATAGCTGTACTTGACCTACATCAAGCAAGTTTTACAAGCTACTGCATTCAACAAACCTCAAGCCTTCTCATATTGGAAAAAGGAAATGGCAGAGAAGATCTTGATTAATGGGCTACACAAATATTTGTCTCAACAAAAAAGTTGGTACATGTCTCACTGGAAACATGTCCAAAAGTAATACCGACCGTTGTCATTGCAAGTGCCTGACCGGTGAAAACATCGCTTCACTGAACGCCATGCAGTTCTCTCAAGCCTCCTAGTCCTTGTTGCCATAGCACTCGTACATGCTTATGGAATGTACAGATCACTTATGACTGCATTAAAAAATGAAACCCAGATGAAATATACTTGGAGTACTTACCAGGGAGCTATTTTAATGATTTACAATCCATCAGTGGATGGACAGAGAGCACAGCTCATTAAAGTAACCATAGCACTAGCTGCCACGTCTCTGCTCCTGCTGAAGTATCATTCAGGTGAGAATAATAAATAAATGTATAAAATCTGCCCAGCTGAGAACTGTTATGAAGGAATTAACAGAAACACAGTTGTTGAAGTAAATGTAAGACAGCATTGAGTGCTCTCCTGGTTAGAAAGGCAGGAAGACAAGAAACTTGTAGAATGTGTGCTGTTGAAGACCAAGCATTTCAAAAGGCTTTCAAGAGGCATAAGCTACATGTCTAATCTGAAATGACTTGCTCTAAGGACAGACAGAAAGGGTTTTTTTTCGTTGGTTGGTTGTTGTTGTTTTTTTGTTCTCTATGGTTGTCCTTAGAGAACAGCAGTGCTTAAAAGAAGCAGCTTGATGGGATAACAGATTAAAAAGAAAACTAATGACCTAAATCCAAGATGTGGCTTGCTTAGAGCCCCAGATAGCCATTTGGAGGTTAGGAATCCCAAGAACATCCTAACAAAGGGTTCTACTGATCAAATTATCACTTGTTTGGCACTGAAGATTTTGTACATCAAACTTTGAAAGCAAGTTATTACACAGATGCCCACGAGGCTTCTGTACAGAACACAAAATACAGTAAGCCAGGGCAGAAGGGAAGACACACATTCCAAATGCAACCACAATCAAACACTGATGTGCTATGGAAGAAATCTGGACTGTATTGATTTTCTTGTCTGTGGCTGTTTTAAGATTATGTTATCCGTTTTCCTCTTTATTCTTTACAAAAAGCAAAAAATAATAATAATAAAAAAAGAGTATTTTCATATTCCCTGTAGATATTAGTCACATTATTCATCTTTCTGCTAGAAAAAAAAGACATCAGTAACTAGCAAATACATTTTTATTTTACTAACCAAATATGCACTTCCGTGATTTAAGTGACTTATCAACACTTATATCAATAAGTGTTGAAACTCTATGGTGGTTTAAACTGCTACTTTCTCCTGGCTTGTTACTGCCACTTCACCAACGACTGCATACATGACAGCAAGCAGTGGAGGAGCGGACATGTTACTATCCATCATTATATGCAAACCAGATTCAACAAACCCAGCAAGACTGGCTAGCATGTGATGCCAGGTAGGCAATGAGATTCCACTTTAATTAGCAAAGGCATTAATTTTTTAACATTTTTATATTAATACTCAGCAAGCACAATTTCTACCATCCAAAGCACTGTACAAATGTAATTCACAGAGCAGTCCTGTGCAACCACTACACGTAGTTAAGGAGGCAGAAACAGGGAAATGGTCACGTCTAGAGCTGTGTGCTAAAACAGTGATAAAATCATTAGAGATACATAGCTGTACATATTATGCAAATATGCCTAAAAGACGTTTATACAATCTGTAGCCACTTAGGAGTGTTTGAGAAGCAGTGCTTTTTTCCTACCCCTGCT